CAAAAGCGCTTGAGCCGGTGCCAGCACAGAGAAACGCCCGCGCCCCCTCAGCGTTTTGGGGGGCCCAGTGCCCCTGGCAGCCCCTGGCCAGCCCAGAGCCCCTTCCCCCTGCTCCCATGGTGAGGGACATCAGGGGTCCCTGTCACCCCCCCCATTTCACAGATGGGGAAACTGAGGCACATAGGCTCCACCGCTTGGTGCAGCGCCCTGCGGCGCTACCGCCACACTCAGTGAAATGGTGAGTGTGGGAAAAGACCCCAAACTGTCCTCACTAACAGCCCTCTGCTGGGAAGGCCATCGTTCCGCTAGCAGCGGCAGCAAACTCAGAGATAAACAGGCAAAAAAAAAAAAAAAGCCCCCCATAAAGTCGCAGTGACCCGATGTCAGCCCCGCTGCCCGGTTTGATCCGCTGCCCGTCCCTGGGAGCAGAGCAGAGCCTCCCTCCCCTCCGAAGCACTTTCATAAGCGTGGGATGTTCTCCTCCCCCTCCTGCAATTTATCCCGGAGAATTTCACACCAGGAAACGGCTTCATTACATCAACAACAGGAAGACCCCACTGATTTGTCACACGGAAAACCAGCTGTTAGTCACACATCAAGGGAATAGGGGAGGAAAAGCCCCTCACCTTCTTCTGCTTTCATGTTCACGCCGTGCTTTAATGTTAATCGCTCCGCGGAGGAAAGCGAGCTACCCGGCTATTCAATAAGTAACCATCACCCAGCGAGCACCAGTTAATATCTAAGTGTCTTCCTGCTTTTCCTGCTACATGATTGCCTTGGAAAGAAAGATTAATTCCAACTTTAAAAAGGAAAACACTATTTTTATCATTGCCAGAAGTCTATATGGGTTTAAAAAAGAAAAAGCACTTGCTTGTCGTTTTACATCTTGCAATTTTGTCAGTTGTTTTAAAACATGTCTCCTGTAATAAATAAGATCATTTTTATGCACTTGTTCTGCAGCTAAAAGCGAGGCCTGAGCTCGCGCGGCGCTGGGGAGAGGTGGGACTGGGAGACGGGAGCGGGGCAGGGAAACCGCTGACTCCGATGCTTTTGCTTCCATGGCGGCAGCTGGAGGGGCTGCGCCTGCCCTTGCCTCCTTACAGGGCGGCTGATGAAGGTGATTTACCTGTGAAACAGCAGGGGTACGACCGGCACCCACGCGCAAATAAAAGCTCCAAGCAGCGCCTTGGGTCCCCATCCTGCAGCGGTGGCCGGAGCTGGCCCCCGGCTCCCCCGCGCTGGCCCTCCTGGGCTGGGACCTCCCTGGGACCCCACGGAGCAAAGGCTGCGCCCCCACCCTGGCTCTTGGCAAACGTCCCCCGACCGCCCTGCTGAGGTGGGAGATGGCGCCCGTCCCCACGGTGGGGTCGCGAGGCTGCTCCCGCGCACCCCGGCAGCTCCCGGGCAGAGCCGCTTTTGCCAGACGAGGAGCATTTTCCCATTTTCCCTCTAAGCCACATCCCGCAGCAATGAGACGGGAAAAGCATTTATTCCAGAGCGAGAGCGCAGCACAGAAAGGTGCTGGAAGAATTACAGGGATTTAAATTCATGTCTTATCCCACCACAATTTTCCGTGCGGGCTGCAGCGCTCGGGTGCCTCTCTCCTTCCCCTCCCGCAGAGTCTGGGTCCTGCTCCCTGCCCATCCGCACCCCCAGCTCCGCTGGGCCTCGGGGTGCCCTGGTACGTAAGACGCGACACTAAGAGCAATCCTGCATCTCCGCAATACAAAAACATGTTGCAAAACCATAGCATAGATTTCTCTGCTAATGGGCAGAGGAAAAATAGAGAATAAAAGCGCCGAGGGCAAGGCAACGTGTTGGCCCCGGGTGCCTCTCTGCGCTGCTACTGGCTGCCGACGCAGGCCGGTAAAGGAATACACTTGATTCCTAGGAAAAACACTTTCTTTTGATGCAGTTTAATATTTATGCATTTACTGCTGCGGTGGCTGCAACGACCGCCTCAGAAAGCCGGTTCCCGGAGGTGACGGCTGCGGTCCTGCCCATCGCGCAGGGGGCGTCTGTGCTGCCCAGGCAGCTCGGCAGGGCTGGGGCCGAGGGGTTTCCAGCAGTGCCTGCACATCACTCATTTCCCAGATGGCTTTTTCCTCACTCTTTTTAAATACTCTGGTTTTAAATACCTGGTGGAGCTTGTGTGCCTTCTGCTAGGAAGCACCTTTCTGCACCACCCAGGACCTGTGGGACGAGGCTGGAAAGGAGCCCCGGGGAGCGTGGGGCACCCAAAAGCCCTGCCCAGGAGTCGTCCCGCGCC